GTTGGACAAATCATTGTCAGAAAAGGGCCGAGCCCTTCATTTGGCAGTGAAGCCACTGTGATGAAGAAAAGAGTTCCAGATGCAGACTTACCCCCAGCATTCTGCAGTGCCTGGGGGGGATCCCACACCAGCTTTCCTGGTCACCCTCTTGGTGTTAGCTAATTTACATAGGGTCAGGGTAGGGGCTGAAGGACTTCCTAGGCGAGGGCCAGAATCCAGGAGATTCTCTCTCCCTCTCTCTCTCTCTCTCTCTCTCTCCCTGTCTGTCTTGCCATCCTCCCCAGCCTCTAAACACTCCTCCTATTTTGGAGGAACATCCCCTATAGAATCCTGGGAGAGTCTGGGCAACACTTCAAAGGAATTTCCAATCTTCTCTTGGTACCCAGAATTCTTTCATTCCATTCCTCTTGTGCTTAAGCTTGCCATCTCCTGTTGTATCATATAAAACCAGAACCCAGACTGAACGGGGACCCCTAAATCCTCCTGAAGGAAAGAAAAGTCTGCTGTTATGAGCCAGACTTGGCACCTGAGCCTGCAAGTGGGGGAAGAATAATAGTTCTGGCCCTGCTGGCTCTTAGTCAAGCCCCTCCTGAGCCTGTGATTGTGGCCACCAGAGCTAAGACACCCAGAGCCCATGCCAGTCTGCTGTGGGATCCCTCTGACACAGCACAGAGCCCGTTGCCTTACTCATTTCCCACAGGACATGAGCCACAGCTCCCAGATGACAGCCTAAGGGAGGCCAGAGGAGGGGAACCCAGACCAGCACCAGATGGTGGCCTGGACACCAACGATACACTGAGGACAGCTCTCTGAGCAGAACAATAAGAGCGTGCCTTTCATGGGTGGGGGGCCATGGGAGGAGGTGGCAGTGGCTCACAAGCTATGGCACAGAAGACTGAGCTACTAGGCACGTGATACAAGAGTTAAGGAGAGAGGCTTTGAAGCCAGACTTCATGGACTTTAACATTGGCACTGCCACTCACCAGTCGTGTATCTTTGCACAAGTAATTTCCCCCCTCTGTGTGTCAGTTTCCTCATCTATAACATGGGCTGCTATTAAGTGTACCTATCTCAAAGGGCTGTTATGGTCATTAAATCAACCAATTCTTGAGCAGCACTTGAACTGCACACATAGCAAGAGCTCAATAAATGCCGTCATCGTTAGCAATTAAGAAGTGCACTGTTTTAATACCGATAGCTCTGTGGAGGAAGGTGGGAAGGGTAGGGAGCTGTTCAATCAGAAAAAGCCTACTGGATATGGTAGGGGCCATCATTTGAACCCATCTGGTGAAGCTTAGAGACATTTGGAACAGTTGTAAACTCAGTGGTTGTTGGCAAGCTGTGATGTAATGATGAGTCTAGAGCAAGCAAAACTCTCATGCACGGGGTTGGGAATATAAATTGTTGGGCAGTATCTAACCAGAACTAAAGATCTGCTTGTCTAGGACAAACGTATTCTACTCCTACATATATGTCAAATAGATATTCATGTCACCAAAAGATATGTATAAGAATGTTAGCAACAGCACTATGTGGAATAGCCCAAAAAGGGGACCCAATACCCAACAACAGTAGAATAGGTAAATAAATTGTGAGATAGATAGGCTAAATAGTCTCACATACATAGTGAGAACTGTATATAATGTATGTATAATGAAATACTTCTCCAAAAATGAGAAGGAGCAAACTGAAACTACATTCAACCAATATGGATGAATCTCAAACACATTGTTGAACAAAAGAAGCCAAACAAAAAAAGATACTCATTGATGATTCCATTTATATAACATTCAAGTTCACAACCGGGCAACACTAATTTATGCTGTTAGAAGCCAGAAGAGTGGTTGCCTGTGGGAGGTGACACATCTGGGAGGGGACATGAGAAGAGTTTCTGCGGTACTGGTGAAGTTCTATTTCTTGATCTGGGTACTGAGGGATATGTTCACTTCGTAAAAATGCATCATATCAGGATTTGCATACTTTTCTATATGTGTGTTAGTATGTCAATAAAGATTGGCTGGGAAATACCACTTTTAATGAATTCATGTTCGAGCAGTATTTGCTTTGCCAAGTAAATGCTAGGCACAGCACTAACTACAGAGGGGATCCAGGATGGTCCAGACACAGCCCACCCTTATGAGGGGTTCAGGTCAAGCCTTGCACTTGGCACAGGTGACTGAGCCTCTGCCCTTTCTGATCCAAGTCCTTCCCCGGGCCCAGACCTAAGTCTCAAGCTGCTGACTCAAAACAGAGGGGTTTTGGTGACTGAAAACAGAGGGGTTTTCCACCGTGAACATGAGTATCCAAACCACCAGAGCAGGCTCCTAGCCATGGATGCTCCCACCCCTGCCAGGTGTTTAAGAGTCAAGTTCGCTCTCAGCTCCTTCCCCTTCTTTCCCTAAGTGTCCCACCCCACCCGCCTTGAGCTTCTCAGACCTCCTCTATCAGGCCCCACCTGCCTCCCAGAGCCTGCATGAGAGGAACTAGAATAAAATTGGACTTGACATGAAACAGATGTGCTTTCATGTACTGTTCCACCTTGTTCTAGTCGTGTGACCTCAGGCAAGTCATTCCACCTCTCTGAGACTTAATTTCTGAAATCTGAAAAAGGAAGTTCTATCGTATCTACTTTACAGGATTCTTGGGAGGTTGAAAGGGGTTAATATATGTAAAGAGCTTAGGCACAGCACCTGGCACAATAAATAAATTGCAGCGACAATGGTTCAAATCTCCCAAGAACATATTAACTTAAATTTTGTAGGGAAATGTCTCAACCAAAAGATGCAAATGGCCCTTTCACCTCACAATGAAAGAGATAGTCATGACCAGAGAGTGAGAGCAAGGAGGCAGTCAGAGGATGAGGGCAGAGGGATAGGACCTCTTGGATCCTTCTGCCCTCTGAATCAGTGACTTGGAGAATCCTGTTAGGAGGGCATGGGAGACAGGAACTCATGGGCATTGCTTGGAGAATAGGCCGTGCAGCCAATCCAGGAGCAAGAGGTGGTGTTCAGTGACATTAAACATATTTGTGACTAGTGAGGAGGGGTCTGCAAACTTGTAACCCAAATCTGCTCCCCCACTGTTTTTGTAAATAAAATTTTATGACAACACAGCCACGCACACCCATTAACATATAGCCTATGGCTGCTTTAGTGCTATGACGGCAGACTTGAGTCATTACAACAGAAATTGTATGATGCACAAAGCCAAAGATACTTGCTATCTCACCTTTACGAAAGTTTGCCGGGTCCCAACATAGGACCCAGTGACCCCACTCCTGTGGGCAGAAATCTTCCTACCAGTCTGCTAAGAACAGAACTCATTGCTGCATTGCCAATTAGGGGTTCGTCTCTGAGGAATCAAAGAATAAAATGTGGGCAGTGCTCACTATGGAATATAGTTTAAAGATTTATTTATTTATTTATTTATTTATTTATTTATTTATTTATTTATTTATTTTAGAGAGAGAGCATGAGCAGAGAGAGGGGCTGAGGGAGAAGGAGAGAGAGAATCTAAAGCAGGCTCCCCACTGAATGTGGAACCTAATGCGGGGCTCGATCTCACAACCCCAGTCAAAATAAAGAGTCGGACACTTAACCCACTGAACCATTGAGGTGTCCCTGGAATACAGTTTAAAGCAAGGAATCAGATGCATGTACAGCAGCATGGGGGATTCTCAAAAGCACAGGGGCTAAGTGACAGAAAATTAAAAATGAAAATGAGAATAATAAAAACAGCTAACATCTTTTTTGAGCATTTAGAATTTAAGCAGCAACCTGAGTGCTTAAGTATGATCTCATTTAATCCTCTGGACAGCTCTACCAAGCAGGAAGGAATATACCATCCCATTTCACACATGGAGACACTGAGACACTCAAGGGGTAAGTAACTGCTGGCAAGTGGCAGAGCACAGCAGTTTGAGTCCAAAGCCTATACTCTTGACCGCCACACTGTACAGAGCGCAGCGTCTCTCTGTATACTAAGATCACATACATCAAAACAGGTAAGCGGCAGCCTGGGCGGCTCAGCGGTTTTGCACCACCTTCAGTCCAGGGCCTGATCCTGCAGACACCGGATCGAGTCCCATGTCGTGCTCCCTGCATGGAGCTTGCTTCTCCCTCTGCCTGTGTCTCTGTCTCTCTCTGTTTCTCATGAATAAATAAATAAAATATTGTTTTTTTAATAAAAGGTAAGCTTTGCGTTCTGTGCATTTTACCATAATAAAAAAAGGAAGAAAAAAGAAAAGAAGAAAGAAAGAAGAAAGAAAGAAAGAAAGAAAGAAAGAAAGAAAGAAAGAAAGAAAGAAAGAAAGAAAGAAATGCACATCCACATACAGAGCAACAACATGTATTTGAGGATATTTACCCAGCGAGCGAAGGCCGCCTCCATGCTGGGGGAATGGGGGTTTGGGGGGGCGGGTTGCTGAAGGCAGGGAGGTGTCCAACACAGACAAATGATCGCAGCCCGCTACGAACCGGGCCGGATGATGAACTCCACTCCGTGCACCTAAGATGCAGAATTTTTCCAGCTTTCAAGTTTTCAGAGAGACTTCTGCGCCCCCAGTGCAGCTCCGGGGCGCGAGCGGAGGCCTTGGGCTGCGGCCCCCGCCCTCCCCGCCTCCCCGGCCTCCCCGGCCTCCCCGGCCTCCCCGTGGGCTGTCCCGGCAGCGGCGCGGGAGCCGGGTGCGCAGTGGGCATGACGGGGCGCCGCGGGCTGGCTGCCTTATCGCGCCGGACAGAACAAACAGCGTGGGGCCTGACACGGGCCCTCCCCGTGGCCGCAGCGGGGCAGCCGGCTTTTTCTCCTGACCATCTTTGAGCTCGAGATCAGACACAGGGAAAGATTAAAACAAATATGAATTTAATCAAGGGATTCTGCTATCCTGGGGTGGAAACAGGAGCCTGCTGACATATAGAGGCTGGAGCGCTGGGGAGCCAGAGTCGAATCAAAGCCGCTTGCTTACCACTAACCGCTCAGATGATCCATATCATAACAACAAAAAAGAAAAACAATTATTTATTCTTTTTGATGTTGCAGCTCAGCAGCAAGTTGCTTTTTGAAGAGAGCAAGGTCAAAACCAAGTTATTGTTTTTGCCTGAAACTTTGACAGGGACTCCGAGTTCTTTCGTGTGACCTACTTAGATGAGAGATGTAGCGAGGTTGGAAATGTTCATTCCTTCTGGGCCACGGATTAGGGCTTGCTTTCTTCTCTGCCCTGCCTCCTCCTCTCCGCCCCTCTCTCCCCTCTCTTCCTGTTAAGGACCTGAAGACGATGTCACGGGCAACACAGAGGCCGCCCGGCAAAAGTTCTGTCTCCTCCTGGAGAGCTCAAAGTCAAGGGCCCTGGCTGCTGGCTTCCGGGGCAAGCTGGACAAAACTCACCCTTTGGCGCCCTGCTTCACTGGCCAGGCATTCACCGGGCAGCTTCAGCCCTAAGTGCCAGGGATGCGTGCCCAGGAACAAATCAGATGGGGCCTGACCCAGGAAAGTCTGCATTTCCTAAGAGAGAGGAAGCGACTGTAATTCAGGGGATCCATGTAACCACCGTGGTTCGTGAGAAAACAGGCTCTCATCACTCAGGCCTGGGATCCAGAGGCTTCCACTCCATGGAAGTGGCATTTAGGCTTCACCTACAGGATAAATCGTGTCCAGCCAGGGGGAAAAGGTCCTCGAGGAGGAGGGTTGTGACAGAGAGAACAGCTTGCACTAAAGCCTTGCAGGTGAGAGCACGTGGATTCCAGGAGCTGAAGGCAGTTCGGCTCCAAGGGCAGAGCGTGAAGACCACAGACTAGACATGGAGCAGCTCCTGCAGGGCCTTGTGACGTCTCGGCCAGGAGTGTGGATTTCCTCTTTATGGCGATGGGGAGTCACAGCCAGGACTTTACAGCAGGAAGCAACGGATTGCTTCAGAAGGAGGGGCTATAGGGAGGCAAGACCAGGATAAGGGATGACAGGAGAGGAGGCATGCTGGGTATATGGGTGGGGAAGACTGATAAGCTACATTGTGAGCTTGGGGGTCCAGCTGGAGCCATCCAGGAGGATGCACACCGGATCTAGGGCTCAGGAGATATAGATTTGGGAGGTCACAGCACATGTCTCCCCTTCGGCCTCCTTGGATTTGGATTTTCATGTTCTTTGATTTTTCGACCAGATGTTGAAACCCTGGTGAGCCCCTTTGGGAAGCCAGAAACCACCATCAGACATCACTTTAACCCTAACATATAGTCTAGTTCAGAAGTCAAGAGGGGTGCCCTGGTATGAGTTCCCCCAAAGCCGCACATGAGATAAGGATGTGAGCATAAACAGCTTATCAGGGAAATGGTCCCAGGAGGCACCTGTAGGGACATGAGGAGGTGAGGCAGGAGGAGAAAGTGGGCAAAAGGGGTTCAATCCTGACTAGACCCTGGGACATGCCTGAAGTGTCCCACCCAAGGGATAGTAAAGCTGAAGGATTCATCCACCATTTCCTAACGGTTCTCTGCTAAGGGCCGCTCCTGGGAAACTTGGAGCCTGTCCCATGTGGGGCGGGTGGGTCACCCTAGTGCATGCAGAGAATGAATCCAGATAGTTGCAGTTCTTTGCAGTGAGAAGTCAGAGGTGGGAGCTGTGAGTGGCAAAGGCATCCACTATGTCTGCTCCATGCAGCAAATCACCAAAATGAGTGGTTTCCGAGAAATGGATGGATTTTAACTATTAAAAACAATTTAACAACACAATAGAGAGAATTTTCTCCAAGTTTCCCAACCCCAAGAAAAAAACACCAGAGGGTCCAAGAAAAAAAACAAGAAATAAACATAATTATGACACCATTCCCACCTCCAACAAAGACAGGCCTGAAAATATTCCAGAGGAACACCTCCACATCCAGAGAATATCAAAATGGCATCACTGGAAAAGTTAAAGATGTTTACTCCATTTCCTGTTGAGGGAAGCAGGTAACCTTTCTTTCTTTCTTTCTTTCTTTCTTTCTTTCTTTCTTTCTTTCTTTTTTACTTTTTTAAGATTTTTATTTTTTTATTCATGAGAGACATAGAGAGAGAAAAAGAGGCAGAGACACAGACAGAGGGAGAAGCAGGCTCCATGCAGGGAGCCTGATGTGGGACTCGATCCTGGATCTCCAGGATCACGCCCTGGGCTGAAGGCGGCGCTAAACCGCTGAGCCACCTGCGCTGCCCTCTTTCTTTCTTTTTTTTAAAGATTTTATTTATTTATTCATAAGAGACACACACACACAGAGGCAGAGACATAGGAAGAGGGAGAAGCAGGCTCCATGCAGGGAGCCCAATGTGGCACTCGATCCCGGGACCCCAGGATCACACCCTGAGCCAAAGGCAGACGCTTAAACCGCTGAGCCACCCAGGCATCCCACGAGCCACTCAGACATCCCAATAACATTTCTTTCAATGAAGGAGTAGTATGCTGGAGGAGAATAGCCCAAAAGCTGGTGAGGGACCCCAAAGGCTGGCCTGTCAGAGAAGGTTATATGGGATTCAGTGAGAAGACCTCACTCTCCGCTGCCAATCCTCCAGGGCTCCTGTGGCAGACCTTACCAGTTCCACACACACCAGCCCAACTCACACACAAGGCCCTATGGGTCTTGCTCTACAATCAGGGCCCTGGCCAAAGTGCCATGGAATTACCATGCCCTGGGGAATAGCCTGCCAATGGCAGATGGGGAATTGGTGAAGGAGCACCCCAGGTTCTTGCCTGTGAAGTGGTAATGCAGAGGTGTATGCTACACACCGCTGCCGGCAGCCCCTAGTGGTATGGAGCTCTAGTGGCTTACAGCGACAGCTGGCTTGACTATGCCCCCTTTGCCAGCCACCTTCTGTCTCTGTGTCACTTGCCATGGTCTGCTGCAGCTGGCTCGTACAAGGCCAAGAAAGCCTCTTCTACCCACCTCTTCCCAGCTCCTCATTCAGATGTGTCATGTGGGTAGCTTGAAACCAACCACGGTGGCAACACTGACACCATGAAATTGATAGACACTATAGTGGTTTTGTTTTGTTTTGTTTTGTTTTGTTTTTTTCAGAGAACCAGTTAAAGGGGTGCCTGGGTGGCTCCATCAGTTAAGCATCTGACTCTTGGTTTCAGCTCAGGTCATGATCTCAGGGTCATGAGATCGAGCCCTCAGTCAGGCTAAGCATGGAGCCTGCTTAGGATTCTCTCTCTCCTCTCCCTTTGTACTTCCCCCAACTCATGTTCTCTCTCTCTTTCTCTCCCTTTCTCTCTCTCTCTCTCTCTCTCTCTCTCTCTCTCTCTCTTTCTCTCAAAAAAGGAAAAAATCATAACTTCAGAGAACCAGTTTGCCAACACACTACAACTCATTTTCCCACTTTCTTACCATTGTTTCTTGGCATTGCCTCCCAAATAAATGTATACTCAAACCCTTGCTCAGGATCTGCTCCTGGGGACACTAAAATTAAGATAGCCCCCTTGTGTCTGCAGACCAAAACAGCTATCTAGCTCACACAGGTGGTGTCACAGAGGCAGGAGGCCCTTTCCAAGTCATGTCTTTACCTTATACTCTAGCCTTCTCTCCTCTGGCAGCGCTCCCTCTGACCCTCTCCCCTCCCCCCCCATAGGACAGCCAAACCCATCCCCAGTCTCCCCAACACCCTCAGTACGCATTCATTGTTCATACCCGCTCAGCATCTGTTCCACTACTGACAGCAGCCTGGTTTTCTTTAGAGAAGGTGCTAGGTTTTTTCAGTGCTCCCGATCCTTCTCTCTTCTCTGCATCTAAACCCTTCACCATTGGACTTTATGGTTTATCTCGCTAAAGAAGCAAAGTTTATGTCCCCACCCCTTGGCTCTGGGCTCAGTTCTGTGGCTTTGGAGAAAAGATTGAGGCAGAAGTGATGGTGTGCCCAGTCTGAGCCTCAGCCTCGCACAGGCATCACTGTTTCTTGTCCTGTGACTTTGCCATCACCCTGAGGAGGACATTCGGGGCTAATCAGCTGGTCCCAGAAGGAGAAGAACAGAGAATGGGAGCAGAGCTGTTCCAGTGAACTGCCTCAGACAGGCTCGGCCTGGCCAGACCCTCCAGCCAAACCACAGATGTGCAAGCAATAAACACTCCCCATTCTAGGCAGCCAGGTTCTGTGGTTGTTACAATAAAGGGAACCATCCACATGGCTCCACCCACTCAATCCACATGGTTCAGGTGGAGCTGACCCCATCTCCCAGCTCCAGAGAAGACATGTGCCAATCCATATAGCCAATCCATATAGCACCCTGGTACTCTGGCTCAAGTCACTATTCCATTAATGGGCCTGTGGTCCAAGACAGGCCAATGAGACCCAACCCTGGGACATTTGCTGGAATTCCTGAAAAAGAAGTACTTGCTTCGCATTTGGGCTGCATACATGGTGGGATGTCAGCCAGTTGCTGCAAGCAGCCATCTTGTTAAGGCAAGGGAACTGCCTTTTGGAGAATGGAGCAGTCATGTGCTAGTGAACTAGCTCTCCCACAAAAAATAAAAATAAAAAAAGGCCCTGATTTGTAGTTTTTGCCAATTTCCATGACATAAATACTCCTACCATGGGCAATTTCATGCTACCAATGATTTAACTATTCAAGATTCCTGAATGTTTTACAATTAGCTCCAGCACACCGCTGAAATAGAACCTATACCATGGAAAACAGAAGCAAAAGATGGAGAGATAGACAGTATTCTGGTGATACTATGTGAGCCCCTACATCTAGCCATGCCTGAAATCCATTAGTCCCTTGGACTGTACTCATATGTGAGCCAACAATTTCCTTCTGTTTTTCTTAAGCCACTCGGGGTTGGGTTTCTTTTATTTGCAATGAAAGATGACTAATATACCCATATCCCATGGGCCTCCATGCCTCCATGCCTTAAAAAATAATAATAAATCACTCAAAAATAACAGTAGGAAAGCAACTATTTAAGCATTAACTATGTGCCAGGCACTTTGGAGAAAAGTAGTCCTGCCAATAATTTTCATACAGACCTTACAAGGTAGACATCACTGGGTCCACTTTTCAGATGAGCAAACTGAGGCAGAGAGATTGAAGGACTTGCCAGCTGACATCAGAGCCTGTGACTCCACCTACCTCCCTCTGGGGCTGCTCTCACTTCAGCCAAGAATGCTTCCCACCTCTTCCTACCTGGTGATCTTGCAGTCATCTTTTAAACAACTAAGTAATTTGTGACAGGACTTGGTCTCACTCTCCGTATGTCACTCTGCCTCTTTCTGTGTGACTCCATTCTATCTCCTGGGGGCTTGGAAGCACTGGACTCATTTCTTCTCATCCACAACTCCACTAGAAAATAGGATTTCCTTTCTCTAGCTCATCCTATAAAAAAAAAAAGTGGACCTGACTTTCATTGGGACCCACAGCCATTGTGACTGCGGCTGAGGGATGGAGAATGGGTTGGCTTAGGCTAAGGTCACATGCATGCCTGGATCATATAGACTGAGGCCAAGGTCACCTGCCATACCCGAGGTCTGGGTGGGGGGTCAGTCTCACCCAGACTACATAGACTGAGTTTGAGGAAGCAGTGCATTCCCCATGGAAAACGAGAAGTTCTTGCCAGAAGTGAGAGTGGATGCTGAGCATAAAGGCAACAAATTCCCAAGGTGCACATCTCCATTCTAGAGCACCATCCAATGCCAGCTTCCCAGTATTTCTCACATGGTTTCTAACCAACTCACTAACTTCAGCCTCCACATATTAACCGTCCTCTGCATAGCTCTGAATCTTTCAACTTCCACTCAAAAACAAAACAAAACAAAACAAACAAACGAACTTCAATGACTTCCTGTTGTCTGGTCCATAAAATCCAAGCTCCTAGACCTGAAACTAAAGACCCACCCTACTCTGAATTTGAGAGAACTTTCCAGCCTCATTTCCCCTGGTTTCTCTTCCCCCACTTACCTGACATTTCAGCCAAACCAGAATATAGTTGCTGGTCTTCTAATACATCTCCTGTTTTCTCTCCTCTGAGCCAATAGCTTGCCTGGAATGCTTGCCCACTCCCCTTTCCCTTTCTCCAAGATCCCAAAATCAAACCCAGCTTGATGGGCTGCCACCCCCAGGAAGGTACATATTCTGCTGAATCCACACCGACTCCAGGTTCCCAACCCAGCCACTCTTCTGCCTCTTGATCCATTAGCAGGTCCTCCTCAGCACCCTCCTCCTGGTGTGGCTTCTCTGTTGAGGAGAGTTTGAGCTCCTGTGAGCAGGAGTTTTGTGAGACCAAGAGCAAACCTCTCAGGTAATCAAGTTAGTCTCACCATTGATCAGGATCCTTTCAATGGCAAAAAAAAAAAAAAAAAAAAAAAAAAAAAAAAAAAAAAACCCACATCAAACCTCTTTAAGTGTAACAGGTCATTGGCTGAGCAGTAAGCACACACAGAACAGAGGTGCCAGCATGACTGAATTCAAGGTACCTTTCTCTCTCTCTCTCTCTCTCCACCCCTCCCCTTTCTCTTCTTATCTTATTTCTACTGTTCTTGATGTAATGGCTTCCCTTCTTCATACTGTAGCTTCCTTCATGCAGCTGGAGAAGGAGGCTTCTAGTGATTCCAGCTTAGGTCACCCTTAGAATTTGGGATCTTGGAGAATGGAAAACCATCTTCCCTAACACTTCAGGCAGCAAAATTCTGAGGAGGTCACTGTCCGGCCTCAGGTCATATGACCTTCCCAGAGCCAATCAATCCCTGTGGACTGAGGAATAGGGTTCTTGACTGGCCAGGCCTGTGTCACATGGCCAAGGTCACCTGCCTCACTTTTGCCCCACCTTTGCCCCACCTTTACAGCTACATGTAATAGACCCCCCGCCACACACACACACCCAGGAAAGAGTGCTGGCTGCCAGAAGACAAAAAGAAAGAAAAAAAGACAATCATTAGCCATAGAACCCCCACAACACCCAAGCATGAGGACTGGTCCATGTAGTGGAATAGCCACTTCGCTGTTGCCGGCAATGATAGCTAAAGAGATCTGGCTGGGGAGAACAACATAGCTCACGTTTGTTGAGTGTGCCAAATACCATTCTAAGCACTTCTGTGTATTAACTCACTTGTTTCTCATGACAACCCACTGAGCTAAGTATAGTTATGAGTCCCATTCTACAGGTGAGAAAAGTAAGACCTCAAAAGGGTAAGTTGCTTGCCCAAGGCTCCCAGGCTAAGAAGATGAGGAGCCAGGATTGAAAACTCAGGAGCACAGTCCCAGAACCTATGCCCTCCCCACTGCACAATGCCTTGGACAAGGGGAGCTTGGCAGTGGGCAGCACACACTGGATGTATAGGAGAGCCAGAGAAACCTGCACCCATGTGGTTACAACCTCCAATCTGCCCAAGGTATTCTTCATTAAAATAGGCCAAGGGCCTGGCAGGCAGCTTCTGCCTGGCTCTGCCCCAAGGAAGGAAAGCATGATATGATGATATGACATCCAACCTTCATCAGCTCACCAGCCCTCACCAGCTCGCCTCGACTCCTCGGTCAGCCAGGTTTCTCCACTCCTAGGCACCCTGAGCTCCTCACCCAGTGACAGGTGTGACAGGGAAATGAGGCAACAGGGGCCTGTAGGAGACAGGAGGCCATGAAGGCCTCCAGGGACAAGTGCAGAAACCAGAGCCCCAGGCCAGGCCAGCACTGGAGAGGCATAGAGAGAAGACAGACAGGCAGACAGAAAGAAGAAGAAAGTGGGAGACACACAGAAAGAGAGCAAAGCAGAAAGCAGGGGATGGAGATAGGGGCGTGTCCTCCCTTGCCCTTCCCACAGGCACCCACTGTCAACACATCTAACTCTCCTCTCCAGAGCTGGAAGCAAGAAGGGGAGGTGACATGACCCCACCAATCAGGCAGTACGAGTTCTGCAGCTGTATTTCTTCAGTTAAAATTCCCCTCAAGTCCCTGATGCAGAGTAAGAGCTTCCAGAGGCAAAGTGAGTGAAGAGAGACTCCCATGGGGGATGCCCCTCACTTGACCCTACTTTGGGCCACGGGCCCAATACTCAGAGAGCCCCAGGAATACCTTCCAGTCAGGCTCCAGAAGCAAAGGCCCATGGCCACTGAGCCCTGCAAAGTGGCAAAAGAAGGCAGAGGGATCCCTGCCAGACCCTCCCCATCTCCCGCCATGGGATCTGAATTCTCTTCTGACCCCACCTCACATAAGACCCCCCGTTCTCTCAGGATATCTGATTCCTCTTGTGGAACAGGAACTGGAGGTCTGGCTTTGACCTTGATTACCCTCTGCCCTTTCAAAGACCTCAGTCTGCCATCTCTGCGGTCCTGTGACTCTGCTGGTCCTCACCAGTGGTGAGGCAGTGGTGCTTTCACGAGGATGCTACTCAGCAACCCCCAACTTCTTCTGGAAGGCCCCCTGTCCTGTCCAATTTCCCACCTCTTTCTAGAGATCTTAGCTGTCCCATTGCCTCCAGGCCTTACGAAAAGCTGACCAGCCATCCCGGCAAACTAGTAAGATGACCAGCGGGGAGGCAGAAAGTGCGCGACAGACGGTGCCACCCCTACAGGAGAACACAGCAGCACCAGGCAGGCCTGGCCTTTTGGCCATTGGTGGGAGGGTTAAGACAGTGCAGGCTTCCCCACCCCCCTGATTCCGTAGACTACGGCTGATCCGCAAAAGATCAGCGGGGTGCTGGAACGGAAGGTTCCCAAGATCCCAAGGGACAGACGCGCAGCCTGCCAGGAGGCCAGGTGGGGAGGGAGGATGACCCGTGGCACACGTGTCCCCGGCTAACGGATGACTGGGCGGTGGCAGCTGGGGAGGGCGCTGGGGAGCGGCGCAGCTCAGAACCACTGCCTGCGCCAGATGTCAGCCGCGTGGCGCAGCGCCCCCCACCCGTCCCCGAAAACCAAAGGCACCCCTTCCAGAGAAGAGAGAGGAGGGGGCCTCATCATTAATAGCGCTGGCGGCAAGGTAAAGCCACCCGCCCGCTCCGGCGCACCCTCGCCCATAATTATGCCAGCGAGGCTTTCATCCCCACGCGCGCACGCCGCAAGTTTATTGTTGTATTTCGGCCTTTTGTTCAGTCTCCTGTGCCTTTTATGCAAGGGGAAGGGTGCCGAGGGGTCAAAGCATCCTCCCCCGGCTCCTCACTCTGTCAGTCCTTTTAGAAAAACACCCAAAGCCATAATTTGTCTTAGAATTTCTTTTGAAACAGCTACAAGAAAGACTAGCGACTGGTCTCTTCCCTCTGTTTCTGATTCCAGCCATCCCTTTATGTGGCTTTCATTAGAGCCTCGGCCGCGCCTCTTTTGTGGGAGAGACTTGTGGGAACCCAGGCAGTTTCCCAGCCGCTGTGATGTTGCTAAAGATTAAAAAGGAGCTTTGAAGCTGTACCAGTTCTCTCTGCGCCCCCTCGGTACAGGGCCTCAGAAAGACCCAAGCCATCTGGCAAACCTGACAGAAAGACAAAATAAAGTGATGGAGACTGGCTCTTCAAAGCCACAATGGCAGATTGGTTGATTTGGGTGTTATCTTTCATGCCAGGCCCTCAGAAGTCACCAGAACACCTAGGTCATCTCGGGCAGGCCTCGCTGGAGCGGACGGAGCCTTCCGGGGACAAGGCTGGGAGAGAGGGGCCCCGGCAGCTCCTGGGGGCTGAAGGATGGGCCTGAGGCCTCTGGACATGAGCCCCGGGAAGCTCAACCATTGGATCCCAGAGCCGGGCCCTGGCTGCTGGCCTCGGCGCCCCCCACCCACCGCCCGGTGTCCCATCTCAGCAGAGGCGCCTGACACCGGCCAGATTGAATCAGGCCCGGAAGCTGATGTGAGGCTGTCCTGAGCAGGAGGGGAGCGGCAGGGAGATGAAAGGCCGAGGCCCTAATTGCAAGCGACAGCCCGTTAGTAACGCCCTGGCAGCTTCCCTATCGGAACCTGCTTCTCACGGCTTCCGGCTGTCTGCCGGGGCCCCGGGGAGGCTCTCCCTTGGCTGACTGAGCCCGGCACCAGCAAAGACCCTGGAGGGACAGAACCAAAGGCGGCTCTGACCCAGCCCTGCCTGCACACCCCACCTGCCCCGTGTTACCTGGAGCCTGGCCCCTGCTGGGCTCGGTTTGCCCTCCTACAAAACAGACCCAGTCCAAGCTCATGGGCAGAGTCTCTCTTATCCTATTGAGGAGCAGCGCCCAGAGCCAGAAGCTTTGGATCATAGGCGCTCCTCTGGCCTGGACGGGAGCCTGGAGGCGATGGTTGCAGAGCCAGCAACACAACTAAACAGACACACCCTAAAAACTGAGCTTCATTGCAGGAATCTGGGGGGCCCTACCCCACACGCCTACTAGTGACACGACCTCGGGCAAATCATTCCCCTCTCGGTGCCTCAGCCATCCTCGTGTTGACATTCAGGAGTTGGAATACTCCAGAGATATTCAGGTGCTGGGGAGAGATGGGGTTCCATGACCGTTCCTGAGGGGGCCAAGGAGAGATGAAGCAGGTACTCCTCTGGGTCCCCCACCTCCCTTCACACAGAGCTTTCAGCTCTTACACATCAGGCTTCAGGTAAAAATCTCCAACTTTTTTTTTTTTTAAGGTCCTACTAATTAAAACACACATATAGTTTAAAAGCCACAGGTCAAGAGGGCCTGCTCCTTCTTTCTGACCTCCTTGAATCTGTGATTCTCATCAGACCCCAATGAGCTCAACTAAGAGCCAAACTTCATTCTATCCAGTTTTAGCAAAATGATGAGCTCATAAAGTCTGACCATCCATCAGCAACCAAGTATCTATTGAAAACCTACTCTGCACTCCCACCCAAGAGAACGTAACAACTGCCTGTCCTCAAACAGCAGACCCGGAAATCTAAGGGATGGTCATGCTTACAGGGGATTCGATAAATCACCATCCACTTTCTAAACCAGAGAGAGAGATGGCCACTGGTCACAGGCCTGGGGACAATTCACCTACTCCCATCCCCTTTTGCCTCTTCCCTCTGGCCAGATGCAGGACCAGGGTCCCAGCTCCTCCTCCACCACACCACCCCTTTCAGACGGTCCAAAGAGGAAACTTCTCGGTTTCCTTTCCATCACAGCTGGCCCAACCACCCTTCCTTCCTCCGAAGAGCACAGCTGGCGCCAGGGTGGGAGGCTCACAGCAGAAATTTCCTGGCACCTTGGCAGTGATGTGCCAACATGAGATTAGGCTTCCCTCTGTATGTCGTCCCAAAGAGAGGAAGGAAGTGAAGCTCTGGGAGAGGCAGGGCCACAGATGAGCACATGTGGGAATGGGCATCCTGCCTACCAAACCCTGAAGAGAGTCTTCTGGAGTAGTCCCTCCT